ATGTTCCACTCCCCACGTAGGATTGATATCGCAATACAGCAAGATCCTCACGGAGGAGAAGCGACGTTGTGTTTCGCCATCGAACACAACAAAGAGGGTCGTTCTGCAATCAAAGTTGAAATAGTCATGGCGTTTAAGCCTATGCGATTGATACTCGTGAAGGAAGACATGCTGCTTTGAAGTCGAAGTCGGCGACTTGGAAATGGTGCCCATGAGGGATTACAGTTGTTGGTGAGTTCCTATGCCCGGCGCTGATATATAAGAGCGTCATAGTCACGCTACTTACAATATAAATATGTCACGTTCCAGGATTCAAGAAGCCAGCTCGCCATACAGAATGCGACTTGTACTTCTCGGTCCGCAACCTAAGTCCCATAGAAAGCGAGGACTTGTTTTCGCTCGTCTCCATCGTCTCCAAGAAACGAGACATCAAGTGTGGACCTGTGTGGACTTTTGCCCGAAATCACCTGGAGTGGATGTACGGCGGGGCCATTGTGTGTCCCTTCTACGGCGGTCTTGACTCATTATTTCGACAGGCGCTGTAAACAAGCCTCAAGGACGATTGATTATCCTGCGGCGTTACGTAGTGAGATCATTCGTAGTTGGTGTTTGTTTGTGTCTATTAGTTCGCCTCTCCCCTGAACTTCCAGAACTCGGTTCCACAAGCACACGCGTAGACGTGCCAGTAAGTACCCCTACCTTACCTGTGGAAGCGATCGACTCTGGTTCTTTTCAATGGTACACCATGCCCAAACCTCACGTCCTGCCTTCACGCCAACGCATATTTACAGTACCTGCCTAAATACGTCATGCAACACTGGCCTTGGCCTTGAGTCTCGACAAACAGCTCCGAACGCGCCTAGCAAAGTTCGACCACCTCCCACCCAGCCCACTCGCGGCCCGCACAATTCCTAATCCCAGGAACGTACTTTGCCGACAACCGAACCACCGGTACGCCCAAACCACAGCTCCTCACGAACATATCGGATCGCCGACGCACCATGAGCTCGGTCGCTCCGTACCCACGGATATTCAACGCCCGCAGACACCGCATCTTGTCCACTACAGCATCCAGCGCATGTTCCCCTTTCTGGAGACGTAAATACGTGTCCAAGATGGTCAGCGAGGTCACATTTTGAGAAATCGAGTCGAGGAAGACACGAAGTCCATCGTTGGTGAGACAACAAACTTCATCCAGCGTTACTTGCACGAGCGTATTGGCGGACGAGGTGGTGAGATACAGGAGGTCCTTGTCCGATATGGACGAGGTGCGAATGCAAAGCTGCGTCAGCGCACACGCGGGGGGTCGTGAGAAACATCGCCTGCTCAGGCTGCCTGCTAGTACGAGCTTTTCGACTGTGAGAGAGGTCAATGCTGGCCAGTATGCCATACAGCGCGCAAGCTGGTCCGTATCGATACTCCAGCACGAGTACCTCCTTGCCAGTGGTAGCATCGAGGAGAATTTACATGTGACCTGGGCGATGGATAACGTGTGCAAGTGCGGAAGTTTAGGAAGTGTCGAAAAGAATCCATGTGCCCTTGCTTGAGACGAAAATCTTTGCGAAAGATGTAAACTCTGCAAATTCTTGGTGGCACGGAGAATAGCGAAGATTGCGGGGATAGAGCTGGATGGAAGTTCCCGGTTACAGTGATTCCCGCAGGTCCATGAACGCTTGTGTTGGTCGACACAGAGATTTTTCAAAGAAAGTCCAATAAAAGGTGTATTGCTGACTGCCTTTGCAAACGTACAAGTGTCCAAAGACCGGGCTGCAGAGGAAGGACAACAGCTCTTCCACTCGGACCCAAAACGAGCAAAGAGCAGCTTTGTGCAACACTCCGACCATTGGCGACACACCTGCGCAAATGATAGTAGGTCATGTTGCCACGTGCATGAATCAGTGGCTTCGAATATCTGCCGGAGAAGTTCTGTTGGAAGGGAGCTAATAGTTATTCTTGGATAGGTGCCATTAGCAACGACTCGCACCGTGCGAGTCGTCACGTAGTTCATGTTATTATGATTGTGGTCGCAAAGTTCAAGGTAGTTTGATGTGGTACGCAGGAAATTTGAGTGCCGGAAGGCCACGGATACAGATGGTGCGTGTGGAGTTATCGAGTGCTCACTCTCCAGAAGAATACAGGTAGATTTGCAATCCCAACGACGGTGCAATTTGCCATTCGAGGATGGAGGGATGAGATCATAGTAAGACCCGTCACTGGGACGAGGGGAGACTCGGAATGCAACCGTGAGCTGTGGGAGAGTAGAATCATTTTGAGGCACTTGGTGGACGTGATCCCCAGGACTATGGGTGACGGGCTCCAATTGTTGAATGGCCTGCTAGTGTGTATACGATAGTTTAGTAGTACCTGAGTATTCGTATTCCTTGTGAACATTCACTGGGACGGAACATACCAGGGAACGCTGGTCATCCATGCACGAACTGTGACAATACAGGATGATCCTCACGGAGGAGAAGTAACGTTGTGTTTCGCCATCGAACACGACGAAGAGGGTTGTTCTGTAATCGGAGCATTCAAAATCACGATGGCGTTTAAACCTATGCGATTTAAACTCGTGAAGGAAAACTGTTCGCTTCGGCGACTTGAATTTGGTGAGCAGGTTTCCCATGAGTGATGATGAAGTTAACTCTGCGAACCCCTACTATTTTCCCTCTCAGCTAGATTACGTCATAAAAGTGTTCAAGAAGCCGCTGCGGTACACAATCCAACTTGTACAATGTACCTCTCACTGTGGGCAATCCTGAGTCGCTCGTCTCGTCGTCTCCAACAAACCAGACGTCAAGTGCGGACCTTTGTCTGAAATCTCATGCCAGAGTGGATGTGCCACGTAGTTGTCATACGGTGCTTCCATGGAGGTCTTGACCCATTATTTCGACAAGCGCGTAGTACAAACAAGGACGATGGATCTTGCAGAACATTTACCATGAATCTTCGTTGGTGTTTGTATCAACGGGCGGACTACGCCATCTGGCATCAAGCGCACATCGCTCGCAGAGAGTCAACGCGTCAGGAACATGACGATCACGATCCAGGGCATCCACCCCTCGCAGCAGGGACGAAGGCACATAAGATCATCATTACAGGCTGCCACTGGCACAAGAACGCCAAGGGCAAGCCTTCTCGCTCGGAGCATCCACATCCACATCCACATAGCCAATTCCCTTCCACAGGGGATCATTCACTGAGCACCGCCACGGCGAGCTTAGACCGGACAACGTGTACACTGAACGCGAAGAGCAAGGACGACCAACCTGACCCATCCGCACTACTCGCATAGAGCGCTTCCCCGTAAACTGAGATCGTCATCATCAACCTCGAACGACATTATTGCGACAGCCACCGATATGAATGACGTACGCTATTCGACATCGGCCGGGGCCTTTCCCAACTTTACGGAGCTGGTAGATCGCTAGGGGTGATCTACGCGTCTCTCCATTGACCAATCGGCCTCTAGAATGAACAGATGAGACAAAAAAAGACACACGCCGATTCAACGAACAAGGAAAAAAAACCTCGTGTTAGTAATGCGACCAACACCCTGGATGATGATGTCATCTCTATCCTGACGAGGATCATTTCCAGGACACACATCATGCCAATGAGAAGTAGTACACGGTCACCATCGAGCGCACCATCTGTGATATCGATATGTGTCAGTATAATCTTACTGTAATCTCACGGCCACTCAACAAATCGCGATCGCCTCGCTGGGGTCAATCCAACGCCTCGAGATATCCAAGAATTGGATTCCAGCGACAATGACTCGGAAGCCCTGCAGGGACGCGGGTCCAGCTCAGGAGCGTTGATGACGTTCGTCCCACCAAGCTTGTCATGATGTCATGATGTCGATGGACCAATGCATCAATGTGTACTTGTATCTGTACGCTGTGCAGGAGGCCGGAGTGCCCGTGCCGTGCACACGACCCGGAACTGCCCCTATACTAATGAAATCAAAAACGGCGATAAAACGTGTATTGGGGCCCCACACGAAGCGACAAGGAAACGCCATGCCATCGCAGAACGCGACCGAAGAAAAAAAAGGTAGTGGGCTGATCGGCCGACGAGAGATGATAAAATTAAACCCAGGCCTCGTTGCACGTAATAGAAGAAAGAACCCGGTTCGAGTTTCGTTTTCAACGTTGCTTAGGCTATACTCATCCGGAACGGATCATCTTTTCATGATTCAGGTACTCGCGTATGGGTGTGTAGTACGCACCGTTCACGCCGTGAAGAGTACCAAGGCCTAGCAAGCTTAAGTTCAACACGTCAAATATGGAATGCCATCGGGGTGGGGCGATGTGATTCGTACTTACTTGATCCAGCTAGCGAGAGCGGTGCGACGGAACCGAGAAGCTAATTCGTACACCTCGAACATTGACACGCGTCCGAGTCCTCGGGTAACCGATGATCAAGTGACCATTGACATGGGCATGTTCTCGTCGTGTTCCAAGGCAATGCTCCACGCTTCGACGTATACACGTTTCGATTTTGGGCGACATCGGACTAGTGAGTGATAGTAATGATAATGCTGTCCACACTGTGGCACGCACATTGAAGAATCTCGATTCACTTGAAAGGCCCGCGGAGACCGGACATCGGGTTTCTGTCAATGAGCGATATGAGCGATGAACGTCAACGTTTCAACGGCGTACATACCATGGCAGTACTGGCCGGTAACGAACCGCGTTCGAATTCCGAGGACGCACGATTCGGCGACTCGACAGTTTGCGGCCACCTGGCCAAAGACCTGTTAGGAAACCTGCGATGTTGGAAATGCATCCACGGTATGACAGCACGAGACTGATGCACTGCCTGGTGATGGTGATGATGTAGCAAAAATCAATTAGCCCACCGCAAAAGTCAAACTCGCAGCCAAAGGAGTAGTGCATGGAACTCCCAATTGAGCTAGGCGGGCAGTGAAAATGTGATGAGGATTGACATATGCCAGAATGTCACAGAAGAAAAAAAGCTAAAAACCAATTAGCACGCCGCGAGAGTCGAACTCGCAGCCAACAGGCAAAGTGCAAGTTACTCTAACCGTTGAGCTAGGCGGGCAATATAAGGAAAACCAAAAACCAATTGGCCCACCGCGAGAGTCGAACTCGCAGCCACATCCAAAAGCGTGTTACTCTAACCATTGAGGGTGTCGCAGCGGTTCACATTCATCTAGGGAGTTGGGTAAGAAAAGGTAGTCATAAAATCACGGCGCAGATATCAATCTGATATCAAGATACAGCTAACTAAGGGCTAAAATACGTACCATGTAGATACGAACAGAGAAGACGAAAAGAAAAAATACGACGCGGAAAATCTGGACTCGCCAGGACGACCACGCAAAGAAAAAAAAAGGTCAAAATTACAGGGCAGCCACCCAAAAAAGCAAAGAAACGAAAGACGTCGAACAACGAAGTGCGTACATCTAATAGCCTCGCCCCCGCCCTCACTGTCCAAACGAACTCCCACTCCTCCCTCTCGTCCAATTGGCACTCAACCCATTCTGCTCCCCACCCCACATCGGGGCCGAATCACTCCTCGACCGCAACCCCACCACCCTGTTGCCTACGCCAGTATTCGTCGTCGGCGAAGCTAGTTTGACATCTTCCCCCGCATCACTCGGCACAATATCCATCTCCTCCCCCGCTCGCAACCCCTCTGATCCGTTGTTTCCCATGTCACCCTCGGTTCGTGCGCGCTTCTCCGAACGTCTGCCATCGTCCGTGTCGAGTGTGAGCGTGATATTGGGATGTCTCTGTGTACGCGCGCCGAGGTGGCTCTGACTCCTCCCATGTCCCGGTCTTTGGCTGTAAAAACCGGGCACGATATCGGACGCCGTAGGCGAGGATGGTGTATGGAAGGGACCCGTGGTCATCGCGTTTGGGATGGAAAGTATGGGGAGGGTCGTGTGCGCGTTTGCGTGGGTTTGCGATTCGCGAGACGGGGATCGGGAGTGTGAGCTGGCAAAGGGTGTGGGCGACGTCGGCGAGGTGATAAAGATGTTTGGTGAGTATTGAAGACGCGTAAACGAGTGTGGTGAGGGAGATGGCGATGGCGAAGGGATCGCCATCGATACGGGAGAGGAACTGTCAAAGGATAAAGAGAGCTCGTGAAGCTCTTGCAGAATGCTTGGCGAGACTGTCCATCCTAGTTAGCAAATAAAGGCAAGGACAATCCCAAAGCTTACTGTCTGGTTCTCTATCTATGCTCATACTTGTGGTTGTCGCCGCTGGACCTGCACTGGCGCCACCTTTTCCGGTCACGTCCACCAGTGCCTTGACAACACCAACAAGTCTCTCAACTCGTTTCCTCTCCTTGATGATCTCACCCTCCGCCCACCGCTTCCACTCTTCTCCAGACGGTGCCCCAAAAGCGTTGAACCCAAAGTTGGGTACGTTCAATCCGCCACTTGGGTCGAAATTGAAGCTTGGACTCTGAGCGTCCCATTCTTCCCCGCCCTGACTCCCACCCATTCCAATGCCTGACATCACGGATGCACTCATGACATCGTCATCCTCCCAGTCGACATCTCTTTCACCATCATCAGCTCCCAAATTCGACGACGACCTCGAGTGCGTAAGGATATGTCCACCTCCCAAACCAACCTGAGCGTTAGGTGCAATATGAGACTGCGAACCTTGAGCGGATCCCCCGAAATTCGGCGGGATCGTCGCTTGTCCGTGATTGGCTGCAGGTGACACATGTTGGGGTATACGGCTGCTTAATGACCTGACTTCTCGCCAGAGGGCGCGATTCTCTTCGCGGAGATCGGATAAAAGGCGCGCAACTTCACCTGGAAGTTCGACGCTATTGGGAGTAACGGCATGTCAGCGTCATTCTCATGTGCAGACAGATAGGAGTAGCCTCACCGGTTCCTCTCTCTTGGGTCGGGTTCTAATGCCTTGCGCTTTATCGCTTCTAGTAAATCTGGCCGGCCACGCAGAAACTTTGGATGGGAAAACTCCCAAGTTTGGGAAGTAGTGGAAGTGCGTTGAGCGCGCGGCGTCTATTGATCGCGAACGCATGTATTTACGTTTGGGTCGTCGATGTATGCGTGCAGAGTCGTGCATATGTGCAAACAAGGACAAAAGAGAACGAGATTCAAAGACAGGGGGAGCAAGATATAGATTGAACACCATCGTTACGACCATAATGGGGCATGACGAGTGCAAACGACGCACCCTGTTGATCTTGTGAAATCCATACATATTAAGTTGACGGACAAAGGACGAAAACTGCGCACATATTCAGCATCGAAGATAGGGAAAAGGCGAAGAGACTCACGTTGTTGTGCTTGAAATGGGCTCCAAGTATGCTTCTACTGAACTCGCCGACATTAGACACGACGAAGCTAAGCAAAAATCGCATCAGTTTGACACTTGAACATCTCCGAGAAGGGACACGAAAATAAACAAGTACCTTGACCCTAATTCCGTCCACGAGATGAAATGCTGCGATTTAGTATCGTTGATCATGCTTTCGGGAAATGCATTGTTATCGCGCGCAAGTAGTGTGGCGAGCATACTCACTGGTACAGTTTTGTTACAAAGTTATTGGTGCCGACACCCTTGCCAATCACGTTCTGCCCTTGTTGGCGCGACGAGCTGGATGGTTTCGAATTCGCATTGCCTAGAGGGAAGCAGTCAGGGGATGGACGGATCAGAATTTGAAAACAAAATTCACCACCACCGGCGGAAAACGAGCCAGATGGGCTGCCCAAATCGTCGTCTGAAGCATCTTCACCAAGCCCGGAAAACCCGGGGCCAGCGCTATCGAGATCGTCGTACGGCGAGGTGGGATTAGGGTTCATTTCCTGTTGAGGCTGCGAATGTTGCGGAGACTGTGACTGAGAGAGCGAGGAATGGGAGCGAGAATGGGAATGGGAACGGGAGTGGCAGGGGGGGTTCGAAGAAGACGCGGAAGATGTGGGTAGGGGAGGAGAGGAAGCGGTGGTTGTGATTATGGGATGAGGAAGTGGGTGTTGGCCGGCTTTGGTCTGTGACGAAGAGTAGGAGTGGGACTGTGAATGCTGGTGAATGCTGTGTGCAGCAGATCCAGCAGGGAGCGTGTTTGTCAGGCTACGTTTTCGGGGGACGCTCTTCTCTGGAACGAGGTCCGAAGAGGGACAGTGCGAACCGGTGCTGGGCCGACTGAGAAGATGGTCCGAGGTGGGGGATAGACCACCTGGCGAAGGGATGGCATCGTCAAAGTTGAAGTTGAACTGGGATTGCGACGAGAGGTGGGGCATGTTTGGGGGGGAGACGGGAGTTATCGGCCCGGAGATGGAGGACGCACTCGAATGGGAGCGGGAGTGCGTGTGGTGAGGTTGAAGGGGGGTCGAATGGAGGGCATGGAACTGGGGCGGGCGGAGCTGGCCGGGCTGTGCTTGGTGAGGCGCGATGGGGGAGAGTGACGGTGGCGATGCAACGGAGAGTCCGCTGAGATTGAGGGAAAGGGTCTGGCGAGAATCAGTGTTGGGTGTCGTCGGCTGCTGTTGCTGGGAGGAGTGTGCCGGAAAGAAATAGGTGGTACCTGGGGAGACGGGCGAGGGAAAGGGGCCCGGCTGGGACTGGGAGAACTGCTGTGAAGGAGTTAGGAGGTGAGGGGGACAGACGCGCTGAGGAGACTGGCGGGAGTAATCGGTAGGATAGTCCATCTCACGGAAGGTTGGGGGGGTCTGGCAACGAGTCGAGGGTCCTCTTGTAGGAGGACGGGAGTTCGCTCTCGTGCACCGCCCTCAGAGGGTGCCGTGGCGTTCATTTCCTTTTTTGGTTATTCGGCATCCACTCGGCACTCCCTTCCTTGTTACAGCTTGGTTAGTAACGTAATCAAGCGTCCTCCCCGCACACGCCCCCCACAGCCTTTGGTTCGCCGTCCTCACTGTTCTCGTCATCCCGAGGGTGGATCTCTGTCCTCCCGTTCGCGCTGATCTCATGCACGAATAAACCATCGTCCTTGGTATCCGCATGTGCTACCCCACCCCATCAAAACGTGCCAGATTGCTCGTCGATGTACCGGATCACTTTCACACCCGCGCTTCGCTTCCATCTACATGCTGCACAGACAACTCGTTCGATTCCGTCAACCGACTCTCCCTTGGTGTTACCACTCGCCTCGCCCTCTTCCACAGATCTATGACGCCACGCTTTAATTCACTCTGACACCACTGGCAAGGTGACAAAAACGCCGCAGCACCGTCTCCACGAGTCGAACAATATAAGCTCCGTGATCTCAACCATGCGTCCGTCCACCCACAAAACACATTGACATTGTCCATTCTATTGTGCGATCGAGTGTAAACTATCTTCTACCCAAATCCAGAAGGTACCTCCCGCGGGTCACCTCGTGGAATAACATGTACACTGCCTCATCTCAACCAAACGCGACCTGGTTCACGACTTCCATATCTGAGAGGGACCCTATCGCTCCGGTCCGCCCATTCCTTTTCATATCCCACTACCTATAGCCAAACTACTGCCAACCGTTGGGCGCAAACTCATCCATCCACAAACTCACTCGTCGATCACATCGAGCGGCCATCGGCGTCCACCGTATATCCGCCTCCAGAAAGCATGGGAAACATCCGCTTCGTTCATCCAAGACATGCTGTACCCGTTCCTTAAGCCCTTATACTTACCTACGCATCTTAACCTTACCTGAGCTATGACATCATCCTTGTCATTCCCTTGCTAGGGGTAGTATGCGCTGAGCTCAGATAACCTTCACATTTGACGCGAGTGGCTCCCCTCTCGATCGTCCCGACTCTTGCGTCCCTCATGGCGGCACTCCCTGTCGGCGATCAGAAAACGCGCACTCGGTGCCAGGATAACCGGAAAATTTGTTTGATCATTCGATCTTAAATATTCCATTCCCGCGAGCGCACACGACGGAACACACAATCAATCACTAACCGCATGGGACTCGCCCCCCTTCATCGAACCCGGACCATGGTATCTCATTTCGCGATGTGATGGGTACTGGCCAAACGTGTACGTTGACGCTCTGGGAGACTGCATTCCCAAATAACGTGTTCGTGAATTCGAGGAATGAACACCGACGCG